TAAAATGTGGTAGATAGAAATTAAAATCTATAATAAAGAGTTGCATGCAAACATAAGGTCTAAGTTAATTAATTTTAAAGGGGTTTAAAATTAATTAGACCTTAGGTTATATCTTCTAATGTGATTAGGGGGTAGTCTTTTATTTTGTTTTAACAAGGTTTAAAATGAAATAATAAAAGACTAAATATAAAATGTTGTCTATAAGAGAACCCTATCTAAGGAAGTTTCTGTCGAGGTTGAGGTATTTAAACTGACCGTAAGGGAACACCTCTACCTGGGAACCGACCTGGGGGTTGAATTAGTCAATATTTTATATACAAGCAATAATGTCGTTGGTTTATTAAAGTGTTTAACGAACTAAAACATTATTGTACAACTTCCGATATAATAGTTATATTGGGCCGACTAAAAATTCACTTAGTTAATTTCACTTAGTCGGGATTTATCTAAGTAATATACCCTAGTCTTAGAATACTAAGTGGGAGCAAAAGAGAATATGTAATATACAGCGTATATATTTGATATACAAAGTACATATAACATACTTTACTCTCTCTCTCACGTTCTCCTTTAAATTCACTGTGTGAGTTCCATACTCGGCCTCGTGTCACCCTGGGCGCGGCCTCCCTACGGAAGTTGTTTGCATGGTTCAATATCGAAGTGAATGGAGATAGTGTTCATAGTAAGTGGGAGAAGGACGTATGACAACACATCCTGCGGTCTCCGCCATTGGTTTGCACCGTGAGGTTTCATACATGACCTGCGTGTCGTCCTGGAGCGACCATCCCTACGGAGGGTTCATTGTATGGAAATCAAAATCAAGGCAAACTCCAGAACTGGATAGGAGTCTCTTAGGTTTTGCTCCAATATTTTCCTTCCCTACGGCAGGATGATTGGGGTGGACCTGTGAGGTCCGAAAATGTTGGGTCACACTTACGAGGACTTGTTAAGTTAGTTAGCAATTTCCTGACGAAATAAACGATGACTAAAATTTATAGGAATAAGAGTTATTTTGGTGTAAAATTTAGTTGAGAATGTCTCAATTCAGTGAAGGAGTACCTGTCCACCCTACGGTGGCTATTGCTCTAAATCATTGAAGCGTCCTTGCAAAACCATTTTGTTAGGGTGCTTAATTACTTTTACTAAATTTTGATTGGGTTTAAAAGGCTAATGCATGAAACTAATATAGATTTGTTTTTACTTTTAGCATGTCTACTTCTATTATTGCACTCTTAGCCGGGCAAAGACTTAATGGCGAAAATTACAAACAATGGAAGTCAAACCTAAATACTATTCTACTGATAGATGATCTTAGGTTCGTCTTACAAGAGGATTGTCCTCAAGCTCCTCTGTCTAACGCCATTGTGGCGGTGCGCAACGCCTATGACAGGTGGATCAAGGCCAATGACAAGGCCAAGGTCTACATCTTGGCGAGCATATCTAATGTGCTTGCCAAGAAGCACGAGGACACGGTCACCGCTAAGGAGATCATGGACTCGCTGCAAAGCATGTTTGGACAACCGTCCTCACAAGCTCGACATGAAGCCCTTAAGTTCATTTACAACTCCCGCATGAAGGAGGGTTCATCAGTGCGAGAACACGTTCTCAACCTGATGGTCCACTTCAATGTGGCTGAGTCGAACGGGGCCGTCATAGACGAGCAGAGTCAGGTCAGATTTATTCTGGAATATCTTCCGAAGAGTTTCCTTCCATTCCGCAGCAATGCGGTTATGAATAAGCTGGAGTACACTCTTACCACGCTCCTAAACGAGCTTCAGACCTACTAGTCTCTTACGAAATGTAAGGGACAAGAAGGGGAGGCAAATGTTGCCACCTCAAAGAGGTTCAACAG